AAGGGGGGGGGGGGGGGAGGTATTAAGAGAAATGCAGGGAGGAAGCATTCTTTGCCCCCACTCATTTTGTCAGGGTGGGTCAAAGCTTGTAAATATTTCAGAAATCATGTAAACATCAAGGAAGTCAGGGCTGTATTTGTTTCTCAGGTATCCATTGAGGCACATCCTGCTCTTGGCAAATCTCACCTGCTGGAGAGGATACTGTTGAATTGTGGTTGCTTGGAATAATACAACTCTTATAAATGTACTCATGGACATTGAAAGGGCTGGAAGAAATGGAAGCAAATCTGTGTAAACTCAGACTGCTTAAGGAGCAGGGACGGATATGATATTTTTGAATGGACAATTGATTCTTCAGTAGCAAAGTGCAGACTTTTTTTCCATTTATGGTTAGAGTGTTATTATAAGTCATCATCTATAAATGTCTCAAAGTAGCTAACAAGGAAATTGACTGTGATAGATATCAATGTCTATAGAGTGATCATCTCACCAATTTGATGAACTCCAGATGTGCTAGACTTTATAATTACTAATTCTCAGCCATTAGTATCAGCCATGAGGACTGAGAATTATGGGAGTGACATCCAATACATCTGGAATGCACCAGGTTGATACTGACAGATTTCAGTGTGAAGACATTCAGTACATCATTTGGGATCTTTTTTCTACATGGCGCTCAACTCCTGTTGGTTTTTATTTACAATAAAAAAAGTTGCAGAGAAGACATTTCTGGACTCCTCATTCCAGATTCCATGTAAATTTACCCTAGGCCTCTACTTTTGGTAGGAATTTCTCAAATTAGGACTTCTTCAGTTTACTGTACCAGTAAATAGTTCTCTGTTCCCTGATATATTTTCTCCTTGAGGAAAATCTATGGACCAAACAGATTTCCTCATTTCTCCCCAAAACTATAAGGAATGGGTAACTATTACGTCAGATCAAACATCAAAGTTGACATTTAAAAATATCTCATTTCCTATGACTGAATCAAGCAAAGTCTTTAAGCTCATCCTTAAAAGACTAGAAACTCAGTACGCGTAAGTGGAGCTGTTTATTTTAATGTCAGTTTCAATGGACTAATGAAAAACAGCAATATTCTAAAGAAAATGGTGAATGATATAGTGCATTGTGGTGGAAACAGCAGATACTAAATTTACAGTTTTGTTAAATGCTTCTAACAACAATTAGGTCTGATGGTTTTCACACACCAAAAAAATGTTATCTAAGAAAGCATAACAGCTCCTACTGATCTTTCTTCCTCCGCAGTCAAGGTTTATTTGTTACAGCTTTTAATCTTCTGACTTGTCTTCCAATCACAGCATTGAAAAAGAGGTTTTAAATAAACAGCAGGGATACAAGATAAATAAACTCTTTTTTTTAAGCAAGTGCCTAGCTTGGCACAGTTCAAACTCAATCCCCCCGAGGACCAAGCTCTCTCTTTTGTGTTAATGTTTAAAAGATTTTCAAATGCTGAGAGTTTATTCTTACTGCAAACATTTCTATTTACAAGGTCAAGTGTATCAGCACTCGAGACAGCTTAAGAGCGTAATTATTTATCTAAGGGTGTTTGAGTGTAGATCAGTAGCTCTGGCAGAAAACCAGCCTTCAGAGGGCTGCAAAACAACTGCTAAGGGCAGTGTAAGACACGGGCTTGTCATTGTTGGTCACAGATGCTTCATTCTATCTGCTCTCTTCTGCATGAAAAGAAGGTGAGCCGGTTTGCAAAGTGGTTCTAATTCAGCAACATTATTCTAAATGTGTTGCTCTTTACATAGTTGACTATGGGTTTGGTACTTATCTAAAAACAGAGGCCTTCCTATGAATTGCCACCCACAAAAATTCTGTATTTCAATGAGAAAGCTGGGACATAACACTGTGCTTCTATGGAAATACAAAAATCAGAATTGGAATTGTCCCCAATCATACACCAACCTGTTGCTATGCTAACATAATTCATATCTGTATCATTTTTACTGAAAGGAGATACTTTTGAAGGCAAGCCATTACCAACAACTACTTAAGATACAGCTGGCAAGCTCTCCACTTGCTCACATTCAGAGCAATACTACTGAATCCCATGAATTTATTTCACAACTATTTCCATTTATATTCCACTCTGTTCCTATTTGGAGTGGTCTCTAGAGCAGTGTAATGTCTCAAAAACAACTTTACCATAACTCTTCTTTAAAAATCTCTCTTTACTAATTTACACATAAAAATACACAATCAATAGATATTTAAAACATAGGGCCTTTTCACACATTCTATAAAAATACAATGTTCAAGGAAGTTCAGAGAAACATTTATACAATTCTACAAAATTCATAAGTCCCTCAAACAATACAGAAGTTAACTTCAGATCTATTTGAAAAAGCTCTGTACATTTAATTCATCTAGGGAATTACTGTTGCTTGTATTCCTTAACATTCCAAATTATATCTGTCACTTTACAATAAAAGAATAACAGATGTATTATTTTTTCCAGGTGGGGCACATTTAAAACTTTAATTTCTTAAAAAATAAATTATTCCCAAAGTATACAATTTATAAAATTCTATATACAAGTGAGAACAGCTGGTAACAAAACCAGTTTTAAATACATTTTATATAAAATTTACCAGGGGTCAGTCCCCTGATAGGATTAGAGGCAATATAACTTTTCAGGATATTTTTACATATTGAGTTTTAAAAGTATCTTTTGAAGATGGCAGTGCAGAGCTCTTTAGAGACAAAGGTTGCATTGTTCAATAGCCAACAGTTCAGCATTTTTTTCTCCTAGGCTGAGGCAAGAGAGATTTGCTGGTGAACTTTTGTATTGCAATTCTAAGTGATGCAAGAACCACCACAAACACTGGACAGGGAGAGAAACCATTACTATAGGGAAAAAAAATAAAAACAGAACGAACCTAGGTATCAGCACAGGCATCTAGAATGAACTCGTGTATCATCACTGGGATGTAGAGATGTATGTATCTTTACTACTTGCCCACAAAGCTTGGGAGCCATCGCTAATTAAAGCTTCCAAGGAAATGCCCCAAGAAAGTAAAACCGAAGTACATGTAATCATCAAACGTAACAAAGTACATGCAATTATCATACTTCATTCTGCAAAAAAGTCCTAAACATACCACAGATGAATCTTCAAAACAACTCTGAAACCTCTTCCCTCTGTGCCTGCACACCTATCCAATTAAAAAGAATCAAAACTGCATCTTCAAGCATCATTATGAATTCTGTGAATGTTAACACAGGACAGTGGGTGGTAGGCGTTACTTCAGCTTGTTGAATGGTTATGCAAAGCAGCAGTTTTGGAAGCATTCTAAGGAAACCTTCCTACCTTCATGTGGACAGCTTGGGGAAAAAGCAGTCATTGGTACATTTATTGTTTTCAAGTTGGCTTTAACCATGAGACAATCTGCTTACAGTGTTCTTTAAACTCCTTTGCCAAACGGCAACAATTTGCATAGTGCACATGTACAGGTATGTCACGCATACTGTGTTTTTCCTAGTTGGATGCCTACAGGGTGGGAAGAAAGTAGCCACACTTAGCTGCATGTACAAATTGGGCAGCTGCAAGTGGTGATGTCTGTGCACACAGCAAAATAAACACTGCATAATCTACACCCCTGACATGCATAATCAAGACGTTTCTTATTATCTCATAAAATATCTCATGTGCAATATATGTAAAACCTACAGCTGAATTCCAAAGCATACTAATTTTGGACACTAACTGGACACACTTCTAAAGAAAAGTGTGGGTAAATGAAGGGCCCAGTAACAAATTCCACAGCTTTATAATTGTACTAGATTCCCTTTTCCTAAATTAAAAAGGGAATTTAACACAATGGGAGCATCCCTTTCAGCATCATTTTTAAAAGTGAAGGGAGGAGAGGAAAATGCCCACAGCGAGGGGAGACAGATCTTTACCCAACTAGGAACACAGAGCAAACCAAGGTCCCGGCCAAGATTCACACGAGGGGACTGGCCAACTCGGAGGACTTGCGCCACGGAGCTTCTCTCCACCGATGAAACTAGGGAAGCCCAGCCAAGACGCTCAAGGATACTGGCCTGTTTCGGGGGACTCCTCTTCGCAAGCTGCCACGTTGCTCGGGAGATACCCTGCCACGCGGTGAGGAAAGAGCCGGGGAAGCTCTCAGAAGCTCTCACTAGCCAGCAGAGACGCCCCACAGGCCAAGCGCCGCGCGGCCAGCCCAGCCCAGCCCAGCCCAGCTTTCCTCCCTCTCCCAGCTCTTCAACGGCCCAGGCGGCCCCCAGCGCCCCTCAGGAGCGTCTCCCAAGTCAAGGCTACGAGAGCAGCAGCAGCAGCAGCAGCATGGAGGCAACCGAGAGCAGCGTCCAGGCAGCCACGGGGGCTGTCCCGCCGTCCCCGGGCTTCCGTGGGAAAGCCGCCTCGCCGCCCGCGACCGCGGCCATGTCGTCGAAGTAATTTCTCGTGGGCTGGCTGGGCTCCTCCTCGTAGTCCTCTTCGTAGTAGTCCTCGGAGGCGCTGTCCGAGGCGCCGCTGCTGCCGGGGCCCAGAGCGTCGGCCCCGAAGCACAGGCGAGCCATGTTCTCCTTGACCGACTCGCAGATGGGCCGCTCCAGGCCGTCGCACACGCAGTCGTTGAGCAGCAGCGCCTTGGGCACGGCCAGCATGTCCTCGATGACGCCCCGGCACTCCTCGGTGCAGCGCAGCCCGTTGAAGAGCTTGCCGCAG